TATTATGATTTGTGGAGCCGTGTAATCTCGTAAAGGAAACCGACTGGTGTAACGTTACACGCTTGACTGACTGCGAGCGAGATAACATGGGCGCAGCAATGACGCAGACCTAGGCGTAGGACCATCTATACTGTCACTTGTAGAATCCAAACCTACTGACTCTTGTAGAGAATTTACTGTAATGATATTTCTTACTGGTATGTTTGCATAAAATGGTTCCATTTCTGCCCAAATTCGATCAATATCCATTAGCAGCTCATCAAAACCTATTATATTGATGTCCATTTCTTTGTATGAAAAATTAACACGTCTACAAACAGCCGCGACTTCTGCTAAGTCTATTAGAAAAAAAAGGTACATAATAACAATATTATGCATTGTAAAATTCTACAAAAAAGACTAATAAAATTCTTAGAGTATTACTTACTACAAAGAAAATTATATCCCTGTGCTGAATTTAAAACTTCATGCAATACAAGTTCTGAGCTAATGTTTGTAAATATATTAGCAGCTACTTGTAATAATAATACACAGCTTTCCATGTATTGCTTCCATTCCCAGTATTCTAGCTGTAAAATCAAATAGAAGTGAATGTAACATTATGTGCTCTTTATGTTGTGCATAAAAGAAAAAAGGATAATTACCTGATGTGTAGTTTCCACTACTTGTTCATCTTCTGTGTTTGAAGGTAAGAAAGACTTAAGATCTAAACTAGGCACAGATCCTGATCGAGTTAATGCATTTGATGCACCATTCATGAATTCTATACTATTAATTGATATGGCATCTTCCTTCTGAAGAGCTTTCCCTTAAGATAAAGTAATACTATTATAATCCTGTTTGTGATGTAAAACAGAATGAGTAAGATACAACATTAATTACCTATCTCTAAGGTGCGTTCTTCTACATTATCCTCAAGCTTAAGATTGTCAAATGATTCAGAAACATCTGGCATAAGGTTGAAATCTGCTGTATTTGTATTATTATTGTTAGTAGATTTAAACTCAAAATCTGTAAAAATATCAGCAAAACTATCACTATGTAAAGCATTTGTGGCAGGAGTATTAGTAGCAGGCTGTTCTGCAGACACAAATTCTCCAAATTCATCAGTTGATTGATTGTTGCAACTTGCGCTTGAGTCTGGTTCAGTTGACACGCTTGGCTCTTGAACCAATGCACGCAAGGCACTATATTTATCTTCAACTAGCTGGAGATTCATAAGATCCTGTTGAGTGAGTTCTGATGCAGTTGCTGGAGCCTAATTATGATTCAATATTAAATAGTAAATTTGCATTAATTAAATTTCGTATAATTAATAAATAATAAGTTATTAAGATTATATTACCTTTCCTGTCCATTCTAACTTATTTGAAACACCTTTGTCATTAGTTAAATTAATAATTTCTGTATTTGTATAATCTTTTATATTCTCACTATGGTCCTTGGGCGGATCATTGTTTCTTATCACTGTATCCTTAAGTATTACTGTTTTAGATTGATTTTTTATTGTACACTTAGGAAATAAATTTGATAAACAATCCATTGATGGTTGCTCCTTACTTTGAGACATTGTAGTTAAATGTGCTGGTATAACACGTGTTTGAGTAGTGCCATGAGCAGATTTAGTATTTATATTATTCTTCTTTGACTTCTCCATAGGTTTTTTGATACCTAAATTATGATTTGCAAGTCTACTTCCAATAGCTGAGCCTTGTTTTGTATCCCAAATGGAAATGCTAGGAATGTTAGGAATTGGAGCACTTTGAAACTCAGAAAAATCATCACATGGATCTGACACTGATGAATGTTTAGAATCTAACTGAGAACGTGAAGTTTGCTTTATATCCTTTAATACATTATTGGAATCCCATGTTGTAGTAGAAGAGACATAAGACTTATTATCAAAACATGAAACTTTTCCAGGTACACTGTTTGTCATTTGCACATTTAAATCTGAAGATATGACACCTTGTTGATGTAATTTCATTTTGCCTTTAATTTCTGAAGAATATCTTCCATCTGAGGCAATAAAACCAATGTCAGCATTGTCTTGAAGATTTTGAAATTTAGCTGCAGAACTCAATTGGGTTACAGGCTGTAGATTCATTAAACATTCAATATTTAAGTACGGTGTTGGTGGAAATGGAAGTAAATGTAATATATCTAGGCTATTGAATGTATAAGAAGCCTGTGCAGCAGCAACAAGAGCAAGAACAATATACAATTCTTGTTCTGTGAGTTGTCCAGCATATTTTTGATTTGCCAAGTTCCATATGTGTCCAAGTACTTCTGTAGGAAGTTGACTAGTGAGCAATAAAGGAAAGACTTTGTTAGTATCAACCAGCAGTTCAGTTTGCATTCCATTTGTTCTGACTTTGTCCTCTCTCACTGCTTCCCATACCATCTTATAGATTGGTGGTAAAGTAGTGGAATTAATAGTCCACAGCCAAGTTGGCAATTGATTCAGTCTTTTATCCATGTGAGTCTTGTTCATTGTTAATAAAGGTTTTTTGGCCGAGCTTTTGCTATGACGAGTTTAAATTACGTGAACTCGTCGAGCAGAATAATTTCATCCTTCAGTTTACTACCCTGGTACATACATCAAAGTGAACACTATAAACATTTCACTGGTTTGCGTGATTATTTTAACATTCGCATATGTCATTTGCGTTATATTTGTCGTTGGCTGTTTCCATCGCGAGAACTGTGCGTAAAATAACGTGGTTTATCAATTACTCGATATAATTAGACCTTCCAATTTGAGACAAAGTGAGATAATTGCGTGGCACAGAATTTGACAATTCAGGTGTCACCGGATGACCACTGGATAACGTCCTGTTACGAAGGGAGATTCGCGACAAGTGCGATGAGTTTATTTAAATTTCGAGTTTAAGATGCTTTACAATGTTAGCAATTTCTAGAATGACTGTTTCTCGATAATTACATTTGTTAAATATAAGACGAAATAACATATTCCAGCATTTTCTATGTAAAAAATATGATTTATTAATCCTTTACCGTTCAGTCGATATTTTTTCTAACATATAAATTTCTTTCCATATTCCTTCCAACAAATCTGTTGCTTTTAACAAATTATGAATTCAAGAAATAGCAAATAAAACATCAATTCACGGTCGAGGAAATAATTATTAAATTCATAAAATTAAAAATGTGAATTATAGTGGATGTGAAAACGGAATCACCTTATGTTATAACGTTGCAATTACATATGGACCGCCTTAATGTTCAATCATGGCTAATATTTGGCGCAGCCATCGCGTTGAAGAGTGTTTGTACATTGACGCGTCTGACAACATGATTTAAATAAAGTGAGTGTTTTTCGAATGTTTTGTCTATATATTATCGGTAATTTGTTAAAATTATCAGAGAATTAGACGTACATTTTGTAAAAAAACAAACGAGCAGTAAGAAATAATTCTATAGAAAAAAATAGAAGACTTAAGGTATGTAAAGAAAGTAACCTATCTTTAATTTACACGGCATCAATATCTTGAAACATAAATCGTGCATTTGTTATTATAGGTTAACTCTTAATCAGCAACGAATCGTGTCTAATATGTCGACGGATTTTTATATACGCTATTACGTAGGTCACAAAGGAAAATTCGGTCACGAATTTCTTGAGTTCGAATTCAGACCTGATGGTAAATTGCGATATGCAAACAACTCGAATTACAAAAATGATACAATGATTCGGAAAGAAGCTTATGTGCATCAGTGTGTGATGGAGGAATTGAAAAGGATTATTCAAGACTCTGAAATCATGCAAGAAGACGATTCTTTGTGGCCACAACCAGATCGAGTTGGACGCCAAGAATTGGAAATCGTGATCGGTGATGAACACATATCGTTTACAACGTCAAAAACTGGTTCTTTGTTAGATGTAAACCAATCACGGGATCCAGAAGGACTAAGATGCTTTTATTATCTTGTGCAAGATCTGAAGTGTTTAGTATTCTCTCTTATAGGACTTCACTTCAAAATAAAGCCTATATAAATATGCATTCTTATATGATGTTTTACAGGTTTAAGTAACTTTAACATAATTACTTCACTGTAAGGAAATATATGATAATTTTTAATTTGTCTTATCCTTTTATTTGCTTGTCCGTGGCATTAAAGCTTATCAAGTAGAAAGTACTATTTTTTTTTTCTTTTCATATAAAAGTAAGAAGATAATTTTAGTCATAACTTAGTCAACTAATCATAATACTATTCTATCACTAATACTTCCCATGATTGTCATAATATAAATATGTGCATTGTACTATAGAAGATAAATTATCTCTGAGAGATAGAAAGTGATTATAAATAATGTAGACGTTTCAGTATATTTAACAATAATAAATAAGAATTGCAGAAAAGAAGACGGATTATTGTAGTTTGAAGAAAAAGAATCTCGTGTAGGTTCGTAACTTTAGGTTATAATTTTCTAACCTATACATCGGAAGTTTAATAATATTTTAATGATTTTTCAATAATTTTAATTTCAATATTTTTGCTGAGTGCTTTTATATTTATAATGCGTTTATACATTTAAGTAAAAATACATATACAATGATCATATGAAAATTATGTTTTAGATAATATCATCTGTTATTAATTTGTCACATATTGCAGAAATAAAATGTCTTCGCAAAATAACGAAGCAATCAATCCAAGTGATATCAAACATACAGATAGAGTTGTTACTGATTCAGTGCATTCAAGATTTCGACCTATGGAAATACGTTGTGATATTTGTAATATGGACATCACTGGGAACCATACTGCCATCGAAAAGCATTTTAATAATTCTCATCCTTCTAAGGAATATTGTTGCTATTGTAAGGGCAAAGTATTTACTTATACACAAATGCCCATTGATATGTCTTTTGATAAACCAAAGCATATTGTTTATCACAAGTGCAGTAGATCTTAAATGAAACTCATCATATTTTATGGAAAGAGTACAAAGGAATTTTTTAAACATTTACATATTTATATATTTAATGAAAAAATTATTCTACATTAATATGTGCAGTACAAAACATAATGGACAGCATAAATGTATGAATATAAAAAGAATCTCACAATAACAAATGCAAAAACATTACAATGTAACAAACAATTCGAAGACATGATTTTTTGTCAGCTTCTGTACAAGTAAGTTATAAAATTTGTGCTTACAAGTGTGTGAAAATTTATTACAAATACAAAAATACATGCATTTGTACATAAACTTATTTCCTGTATAACTTGTAGTTGAGAATTGTTTACAGTGTTTTCAAATAACAATTGAGGCAATTTTAGATGAAAGATCTTACTTAACAAATCTTTAATTTATAGAAACTTTTTATGCTCCTTAGTAGACAATATTTTACAATAGCAATATAAAGGAACACATAATTTAAGTAACATAGGTTAACACAATAAAGTGTACATCTTGAAGTATGAACACAGTTACTATAAACTGCATAGTGCATCTTTCATTTGTGATGTATTAAGTGATGCAATATATACATAGTATATATACACATGTATATGTATAAATATATGTTTGCATTAGATTTTTTTATGCATATAGATACACAAATTAAAATTTAAAAAATAATTCATTATCATTTCACGCATAAGTATGCAAACTATTTGCAAATTTGTTAACCTACACTTAAAGATATATTGTGATGAATTTAAAATAAGTAGTATTTAGTATTCCATAGTTAAGCTTTGTGCGTAGTACGTATAATAATAATCGCGTAATTGTTATTAATAGCTTTGGATTGCAATATGTTCGTTCTAGCGCGTACAAAAGTATAGTAATACTGATAATAAGATAAATGTGAAATAACGTTTAACGTGACTAATACAAGGACCACAGCCATTTTGTGTGTCAATTTTCAATATACTTAATGATTCTCCAAAATTTTTTTCTTTACAAATTATATTATCAAACTTTGTGGACTTCAATTTCCAATGTAATCGAAATGTCCAATACATTTGATTATGGCCGAAAGTGTTTTTAGAACGCTTCCTTGAAGAGTGTCGTTATTCGCACATTTTGACCAGCATTTATAAATACTTTTTTGTGTTTAATTACAAATTCTAAAATTCATTACTTTGACTAATCAGTATAATTAAAATATTCCTGTAATAAGCTGCTGCTCAGTGCATGTAATCTTGTTAAATGAATTATTCTTACTTACTTAGTTTCAGTTAGTGTGCACAGAATAAAAATATACTTTTAATTATTTATAACATTTAGCTATCTTATCAAAGTTTTACATGCACTTGTTTGGAATCTGTATTTCTCGGAAGTAAATCAATGAATAATTGATGTATCTAGCCATATATTCATTTTTATCTCATTCGCGGTATTTAGCATCTTATTCATCTGAATATTTTGTCAAAAATAATTTTAATTTTGTAGGATAATCTGTCATTACACCAGATGCTCCAAGATCAAAAGCTTTCTGAAATTCTTCCTCTCTATTCAAGACCCAAAAATAAACCTATAAAAGTACATTTAAACATTGTTATATATTATAATTAAGTATTTCTACAATACTTTAATATTTTCTTATCATGGAAAGCATTACTTTACTGAAAATATAATAGGTTTATATATTGAATAAAATGCTGACTTACATGTATTCCACGTGCTCTTAAATGGTTGAACAGACATGGTCTCATTAGTAGTGCACTAATAGTGTGTATGATTATCTTTTCCAAAGGTAAATATGTAGGAATTGGACATTTGCGCCTATAATGTGGCAATATTCGATAATTTTATTGAAATAAATATTAAGTAAAACAATTAAGGTACCTTAAATAAATGGAAGGTAAAAATATCTCCAAATGTGTTTCCTTCAGAGGTATAAATGGTAATAGACCAGTATATAAAAAAACTATCAATAGAGTTACACGTCTCATAGAAAATAATAAATTTATATTTGGATTCTGTAAAGGGAAAATCAAAATTAGTGTTATCATGATCTACTACTGCCATTATTTTACCTTAACAAAAAATTACCGTTTTATAACATTTTTGTGTTATTTCATCATTAAAGTTACCCCATACTGTATAATCCTCACGATTATACTCCTTTACTAAATTTGATACCTTTGTTATAAGTTGATCATCATTAACTTTGATGTCAATATTCATTGGTATATTGGGAAATGCTTCAAATACTTCTTTCAATAAAGCAAATTTTCTATCTTCCTCCTTTTCTGTGCCAATATATTCTGCATCTGTTAAACTACAGTTTTTAAATTATTTTATTCAGAGATACCATTTATTCTAAAGAAAACTATTTAAAAATACCTGGATCAAAATCTATTGGAAGGCATGGTTTTAAAAGAGGTAGATCTTTATAATTCAATTCTGATATATTTTTATTTGCACCAGTAGAACGGAAAAGATTGTGATCATGTGATACAACAACTTCTCCATCTTTTGTAAGGTGACAATCTAATTCTAACATTTCTGTTCCAACTGCTACAGCTCTGAAATAAATGAAAAAATGTTGTCACAAAGCATTGTGTACAATAAGAAGTACAAAACAATTATTTAGAGATATATCTTTTAATTTTCTTAATTATTATTCTCATTATCTTTGTTAATTGTTCTGTGACCTTCAGATAATGTGTAAGCGTTTTGACTAACCGTTTAAAAGCGTACATTGTATTTTCATACCCCTCTCCTGCTCCTATAAAATTAGTTTTAATGAATAAGTATGTCTCTTATATATGTAGAAATAATAACTGTTAAAATACCGAAACGTGGAAACCCACCACCTCTATGACTGATATGCTGGCACAAAAATTTCACCTGTTTCTTTTTGTGTAACAACGTCGGATATTTAAAAAGTATCATTGACGTTAACATATAACCTCCTACAACCGTGTACAACAACATTTTGTGTTTATTTATTGTTTCTTATTTGTACAACATATCGTAGCATGTCGTTATTGTCTGAACGAGGTTTGATTAACATACAAATAAGTGTTTCGAATGACAGGTTGGTAGCAAAAGAGAAACGGAAATTTTACACAATTATGTGCTACATGACAGACTGGATTATATTCAATAAAACTGTAAATGTTACAATTACGAAATCCTTTGGGTGATATCGTATGAAAAGTTTTCATGTTAGGTATTTTCTTTTAATGCATGTACACATATGCATGAAGGAGCACTATCAAGTTGTTTCTTTTTGTTTTATTTTATAACTTATAGCTTGGAAAAATTGAATGTAGACGTAATTTGCGTTAAACGGGTCCTTTAAAACATAAAATCCATATTTTTGATGGAATTATAAAATTATTTTAAATTATGATTATGAAGTATTTGTAATATCTTTCGTAAAAGATCATACTCTAATTTGATGGAAGTGCGTCCTATGATTAATCATTTCATTCCATGAACATAATAAGCATTAGTGTTTTTTTTTTCATTTAATTCTTCAAAAATAAAAGGTGATAAGTGACTGTACAGAGCAATTACGTAAAATCACCAAAAATTCGAAAGCGAGATACTTGGAATTACAGGTAAATGGGTAACTATATTAACCTGTTGGACATCTATCTCTTTTCCTAGTTCGGAGATTTTACGAATGCACCTGTCAAACAAGTTTAAAAGCTGCCTTTACAAAAATGTGTTTTCGTCAGCGTCTCTCATTCGTTTAACGAGATGTCGGATTCGAATTCGCCGAAAACAGATGCAAGCAGCCCAAGCCTTTCGGGAAACTTGCGACAATTTCGATTCCAAAAGAAACAACTGAAACCGTTAAACATGTGTAAGAGTTTCTTTATTTTTAAGATTTAATTTCTGGGTCAATACAACCGATGTCCATCTTTTGTTGTTATGTTATTTAAGAATTGTTTCTTATGTGATTGTTGTTTTTTCCAAATAATTATTTATAATTAATCGCATTTGCATTTAAGTAGGAAAATAAAGATTAAAAAAAATTTATTTATTTCCTTTTAGTTGACATTGACAATATTATTAATTGTTACTTTACAATATAATTATAAGTATATAATAATTGTGCTTTTGTTTAGCGGATGATGACAGTAATTTAGTTGGTTCTGAGATACAATTTCGACGTAAGGCAGTTAATGTAATTGAAGACAGCGACAGTGATGTGGGTAGTCCTGCTAAAAATGCTCCCTCTTTAGTTCACAAGGATAAAGTAATATTTATTGAACAAAAACCTTATTATTTATTGTTATTCTGAAGTTTAATAGAACTAAAGTTAAATTATTTTATACAAGCAGGTGGTACATAATAAGGCAAACTGGAACAGTGATGAAGGTGATGTAGATTCCAGAAATGGCAGAAAGAGGACCTTTAAGGGTTCTTCCAAAACTACTAAGAAAAAAAGAAGAAAATTAAACAGAGATGAAGATATAGATGTTGATTCAGATGAAACAGATTTTAAAGATAAAGTGTTTGATAGGTATACATGTCCAGTGATTTAGTTTTTTTCAACAGTTTTAACATTACTTTTCTGTTGTTCACAGTGATGAAGATTCAGATGTAGAAATATCCAATGAGCTTACGGGTGATAAAAAAGCAGTTTTAGAATTCATGCAAAATGCTTTAACATCAGAGTTACTGTTAATGTCTTATTGTTCTCAAAAGAAAGCAAATGCCATTATAGAAGCAAGACCATTTGATAATTGGAGAGACATAGTTCAGAAGTTCCAGAACAATAAATATTTGGATACAGAACTTTTAAATTCAGCTCAAGTAAGCAGCAGAAATGGCAGAGCTTTCAATTTCCCTCTACAACTTTTGTGGTAATTTATATATTGAACTAAATTTTTTTATTACAATAAAATAGGAATTATTGGCTACTAGACAAGCAGTAGAGACACTCATGAAGAAATGTCTTCGTTTGTCTACCAATATTGAAAGAGCTGTGGCTGCAGGAGCATCAACCATTACAAGTCAACCCAAGGGGTTATCACCAAATTTAAAATTAGCTCCATATCAAATGGTTGGATTAAATTGGCTTGCCGTGATGCATGCGCAAAATGTTAATGGTATACTCGCGGATGAAATGGGTTTAGGAAAAACGATTCAAGTAATAGCCTTTCTTACATATTTAAAAGAGGCTGGCCTCAGGGATGAAAAAGATGGACCACATTTAATCGTTGTTCCCAGTTCAACAATGGGTATACAAACATTGTAAATTTATTTTACTCTTACCTTTCTTGTTTGTAAATTTGTTGTTTTTATATATGTAGAAAACTGGAGCAACGAGTTGGAAAGGTGGTCACCTGGTTTGAAAGTTGTACAATATTATGGCACTCAGGAGGAACGAAAAGAAATGCGATTCGGTTGGCGAAACGGTGAACTGGACGATGTCGATATCTTGTTAACTACGTATAGTTTAATTAGCAGTACACCAGAAGAACGGAGATTATTTCGTGTCATGCCTATTCATTATGTTGTTTTCGACGAAGCTCACATGTTGAAGAATATGGCTACCATCAGATACGAAAACCTCGTTAGAATTCATGTACGCGTTTATTTTATTACATACATTCCTCTAAGCAAATAAAATTGCATTGCTATAATTATTTCACAGGCTAAACATCGAATTCTGCTAACGGGTACTCCGTTGCAAAATAATTTATTAGAACTGATGTCTCTCTTAATATTTGTGATGCCTTCACTGTTTGCTGGAAAACAAGCCGATCTAAAAAGCTTATTTTCAAAAAATCCCGTAAGTATTAAAAGTAACCACAATAATAATTATTATAAGGAGATTAATATATTACATAATTTTGTACATTGTATTTCAGAAACTATTAGCAGTTAAAAAAAGTAGTGAACAGCCATTGTTCGAACAGGAACAAGTAAAAAATGCGAAGCAAATTATGACACCGTTCGTGCTTCGGCGACTGAAAGCCGAAGTCCTTCGAGATTTACCAAAAAAAAGTGATCGTGTGATTAAATGTCCGATGACAGATAAGCAACAAAAAATGTATACAGACTTGATTGCCGAGTTTTCGGCCGAGGCTGATCAAAGTAGTGAAGTCAATGGTGTGGGAATGATGATGCAGTTAAGAAAGTTGGCCAACCATCCGCTTTTAGCACGAGATTATTACAACGAGTCTAAATTAAGAGTAAATTTATTATTTTATTTATTATGTTTAGTACAAATATATGTATAATGTAAAATTTTAATTATATACAATTTTATGTCAGGTTATATCGAGCAGATTAGCGAAAGAGCACTCGTACAAACAAAAGAATGTAGATTATATATTCGAAGATTTACAGTGGCTGTCGGATTATAAGATAAACCAATTGACAAGAACGTACAAGAGTTTAGCTGGATTGGGCTTACCTCAAGAACTTATTCCCAAAGCTGGAAAATTAAAGATGTTAGACGAATTATTACCAAAGCTAAAAGATGAAGGGCATAGAGTATTGATTTTCAGTCAGTTTACAATGATATTAGATATTTTAGAAGAATATCTAACAATCAGAGGACATACCTATCTAAGGTCTATTTTATATTTTTTATCTGCTTCATGCAATTAAGTTAACTTAATTTTTAATTTTTTACGGAAATAGATTGGATGGAAGTACACCAGTAACAGATAGACAATGTTTGATAAACCAGTATACGGAGGATGGAAGTATTTTCATATTTTTACTATCTACAAGAGCTGCTGGTTTAGGGATTAATTTAACAACTGCAGATACTGTTATAATACACGATATTGATTTTAATCCGTATAATGATAAACAAGCAGAGGATCGTTGCCACAGAGTGGGTCAAAAAAGGTATTTTAATCGTTATAAAAAGTATACTCCAAGAAATGTGCATAATAATAATATATTGAAACCTATTTTTAGACCTGTTAGCATAATTAGATTATTAGGCAAAGATACGATAGAAGAAGGCATGTATGAAGTAGCTCAAGATAAATTGCATCTTGAACAACAGCTGACCGGGGAAGAAGGTAAGTGCTGTGAATTTTTTCTATTTTGTAATTTAGTGTCATGGATAAAATATGTTCACAGAGAATGAAAGTACGGATAAAAAAAGTGTGCTGAAGTTACTTAAGATCACATTAGGGCTAGAACACAACAGGTCTTTATCGCTTTTACAGCAAAAGAATGCGAGAACGAGCAACGGATTATTAAGCAGCGAGGAAAATTGTAACATAGAATTTTGAAATTAATCTTTTACTTAAATATATTTTTTACCAGCAGAAAATTCAACATCACTTTCATATGTATTCTTAAATTTTGTGATAAAGTACAGTGTTATAGAGTTGCACAAAGAAAAAGATCGGAGGTCAATCTTGGAATTGTATCTTCTGTTATTTTTTTTTAATTTAACACTTTGCGGTCCGCCGACAGTATAGTGCTGTTGCTCCTATTTAGAAGCCGCGGTCGGTAACGTTGACTTTGTAAGGGAAGGCACCAACCGGAAATGCATTGCGAAAAGAAACTTGCTATGTGTTTAAAATATTGTTCTGAGGTGTACCACGCGAGAAAAATATACTTGAATAATCTATTTCATCATATTGAAATTATCAAAAGATATTTATTCTCTTAAAAAATCAATTATATGTTACGTTTCGATATGCTGGTACAAAAGAACACGACGGCTCTGCGCGGGCCTTAGACTGCAAAGTGGTAATGATTGTGCATATGAAAATGTTTGTAACAGTATTTTTATGAAAATATGTACACAATTTTGAGTGATGTTATTTATAAATTGTCGTATTTAATTAATTTTAATGATAAACTTAATGATTTCTAATTTTTCTATTTATACAGAATGGAGAGCGGAAAGTGTTACACGTAAGTAGCGAATTTGTCCACTTATCGCAATAAGAGCTGCACTTACTGCCATTTCACAGAATGTTTTTGAGATAATCTTAGCGACTGCACTTACACAAAAAGTAATTTCGTAGCAGTGATAAAGAGTTGAGAAAAATCAACATTCTATATCTCGTTCAGTTTTAGAAATAGTTATTTTTAAGACGTTTTTTACCTTCCATTCTGTATTAGTATAAATTTTGATCCATCCGTGATTTTTACATTTTGTGTCCGATGTCTGTGTTTTCATATTTAATGGTATGTTCTTTCTGTATAAATTTTAAGCGAATTATGAAAACTGCGCAACATTTACAAATAATACGAGAAAAGGGTGTACAATTGGGAGAAAACGAGAAAAAGAGAACTTTATGCTGAAAAGAAAGAATAATGTAAACGATGTCAAACTGTTTTGTATTACTGTATACACATTCCTGAACAAATAACTTGATCATTGTACAAAACCATTACAGATATTATAGACTTCTCGTCAGAGTTAATTTATTATCTTGTAATACGTACGTTTATATTGATCGAATTCGACGAAAAATTATAGCTTAGTTAAAATACATAGCTAAATCAAGAATTTATAATCGGGTACTGTTAATGATAATAAATGCAAATATTTCAAAATATATCATGAGTTTGCAATACATGATTTGCAATTATTTAATGACTATATTACGCGATTAACTTATTATATAATTGTATGCAACTTGAATTGGGAAGTATAATTTTATTCCTTCGTTTTCTTTAGGATGAAGATTTATTAATTGAATTTTGGATAAATTTCTAATAGAAAGGATTTACTTGAATATTGTTTCTAGGAACAATATTGTTACTGCGTATACTTTAATCTTTTTAATCTCCTGCTTTTATCTAAAAAATTATGAGGATGAAATGAAACCACTTATCCAGCTTCATTCATTAAAAAAATCAAATCATTTAATCTTTTCAGTTTGAAAATTGATTGACATGCACGTTGTAATTTTTTTTTTTTTTTCAAAGCAGAACCAGTACTTATCAATATTTACGTAAACCATCAGATATTAATTTTATGTTTGCATATTATTTCTCGCGTAATTTCAATTTGAAGAATAAGTTAACAATTCTCAAAGTAAATTATTTGAAACTGATTCTATTTGAATAGTCTTATAAACTATCTAAGATTGGAATCTCAGTTGATCTTGTAGAATATTGCTGTTGTAGTTGCATTTACGAAAAGGAAAATTCCTGTGATGTCATTAGAATACGTGTGTATATACTTCTGACTATTGCACAATCTAGGATATACTTTTAATAATTTATAATTTGCATAAAAATTAATATATAAAATTTTGTCACATGGACTGTGATACTCATAATTATCATGTTATCATGGTAGACTAATATTAATTATATAGAAGAAGCTAACAGGTGCTGCCGTAAATTCTATTTCTTTTATCTGCCATTATTTCGTGTTGATAATCTATGACGTAAATCGAAAACCACATATTTCCATGATCAGAATTTAAAGTCAGAAAGTTCAGAAAGTTAGGAAAATTCCTATGACGTTACCTCGATAATCTTGTCTCCGTTTGTATCAATGTAATCTAGCCATTCGCTTAATGAAAATCTTCGATGAGAATTGTATTCGTTTATTTCATAATGGAGTTTCTTACGCGTTAGAGTTAATACGCATAATAAAATATAATGGTAATAAATTAATGATCGTAATTTCATTTGATGATGTTATTTTAGCTGAGGAGAGGGTGTAAGTATTGAATAATTATACATTACGTCATTAAACGATGGGGCATATAGTATGCTGATAGCAAAGAAGGGAAAGCAAGAAAGAAAACAATAACAATTTCTTTTATTGAAGCTATTAAATATTTTAGAACTTTGACATTGTTCATACTTGTAATAGCACATGAAATGATTCCAAATTTGTGAATTTAAATTATTCCAAGATCTTCAGCCAAGAGAATCAAACATGCGTCACTATTAGAGAGAAGTTAAAGTTCGGAGAAGAGTGGGATTAAAACACGGAGTAGGGATCAGAGAGTGTGAAGGACAGAAATATAGAAGAGGACAAGAAATAGACAAAGAGAAAAAAAGAAAGGAATCGCAGTAACGGGGAAGCAGCATCAAAGGGGAATCCCACGTGGTTTCTAGTATTTTGAAACAGTTAAAAATAAAGCATGTAGATTTACAAATAGATTATTAATAAACGTACTTGTGTGTTTTTACATGCGGAAGAATGGATATAATGTCGAGGCGAAAGATTAAGTTTCTGTGAAAAAATTCCTTTAACATTTTTGAGCATGAGTTTTCTTTTTTAAATTCTTTCTTAGAGAATTGATCATCAACAAAATCAGCGATCAATTTTTCATTGCATGTCCACGTGGGACAAATGACAGTATTCTGTTTTACTTATTTTTAAAACGCTAGTAGGTGGCGTGAGCATCGAAAATTCGATTTGTCAAACGGAAGCCTATCAGCGGATAGAAGAGAAAAATGTACTACATATATACGCGTAGAAACTGTTCATCAGGCGACAAGATTAAAGGAAATGACTACCCGGATCTAGCAATTTCTCCGTTCTTCTTCTCATATCTCGTGTTCTATTTATTCGTTTGACAACTATATAGAAATAAAAATGAACACGGTAGATTAGTTGGTATCATAATCGCAAGCAATTAGAATTTCCTACAATTTGTCGTTGCTTAAATGTTCAACAATATCTGTCGACACACTTATTGGGTATTTTTCAAATACCAGACTCTACATCCATCATAACACTCGATAATAGTATTATTCTCTCGAACGATTTACGAGTAGTTTAAATTTTTATACTTTCATCGACGATGTGATAACCTGATCAACGATACGTTAACATGCAAATACAGTTAATTCATAATTACTCATTATTATACTACTATTATTTATCTGTTTGATTGTCTGGAATGAAAACTTTCCACGTATTTGATTTATCGTAAAGCATAAGTTTCAGGTGTAACTGATTAACGTCGACGTTTACAACCGAACATACATTCTTTATACTACTAGGTGTACGTAATTTCCACTATCAAAACATCCAGATAAACATCGACCGGTTCTCTTCTAATAATCCCTCCGCGTTAACTCATCGTTCAATTTTTAATGCTGTTAATATTTACGGCAATAAATTTGATTACGATGCAATCGAACGTGACGTTGCGCCAAATTGTAACCAGTTTAACAATGTATTAACTAGAACGAAAATCAAAAACTCTTATCGAAAAGTAACCTAAAAAGAAAAATAGAATTAGTTTTTTTTACTTAAAAATCACAAAATTCTTTAAAATAGTATCTTCGATTATTTTTCACCTTGATATATTTATAATAAATTTCCTTATTGCGGCTGAAACTCGTTTCACCTGTAATAGATAGGAAAATCGGGTCTGTAAAGAAAATTGGCGGCAACTGCAGCGATATTCTTCGAATGTCTAAAACGTCGTATATATGTAGCCGGGAATTACGAAAGGCAAAGTGTTTCTAAGGTAAACCGGCTGGTCGTCACTTGCTTAGATTCCGCTGTCGAGTAGGCTTCGTAAGGTAGTCGAGCCGCATCGTCGCTGGTCCGAATCATGCCGTGAGTGACCAGCAAACGAAATGGCAAGAGTGCCGTGTGTGTGGCATGATGCTATATAAATAATACTTGGCGCGAACCCTGATCAGTCGAGTTGCGGCGGCCGTACCTGTCGCAACACAATAATGCATCGTACCATAACAAACTGAAACCGGTTGTCTTTTTTCGCATCTTTTGCTACTTCGCGTTCTCATTTACCTTAACCTTGCACCGTGCTTGCGACGTGTCGTTCTTCTTTTTCTCCCTTGTTTTTTTTAAATATTTTTCACCACGCACCGCTTCCCGGTGAATTCTTCGTCTTTTACCGTTTTTCTTTTTTCTTTGTCTTGCTCCACTCTGTGTACAGAAGTGACCTGCCAGGATGTCGCATGACAATTTGGGATTTACCTCGAGTACGGTGAGTGACATTGTATAATATATAAATACATATGTACGTACCTATGTCTACCCCTCTTGCTTTCATTTATCTTTCCTACAACGCACATTGTTTTGACACACGGACTCTTCGTCTCGAGTACGTATTGGGCAGTAAATAGCTTGGAGTCTTTGGTGGGAATTTGTTTAAATTTAAATGGTGACATCGAGAAGGAAGTCGTTAGTGGTCGACTAAACTGTTTGACGAGTTAGCGCTACTTTCGGTTTGATTCTTTTTCAAGATTGTGCGTTGTCTATAGTGGAGTGATCAATGCCTAGATTCGACTGAAGAACATTTTTGTTGAATATTAATGAAATAGTTTTAATTCAATTACTTTAATTTCAATCCGAAAAATTCTGGTCGACGTGGAAATGGTTTCCATTCCATCGATCAAACTGCTTGACAGTCGTGCGATGTATCATGGTTACAAGTGGCATACTTCACGTTTGTTTATTTTTTCGTCCTCTCGGCGGCAAACTTTTGCTCAGAAAAAGCGTGTCGAACGTAACCAGCTTTCCGCGATCAAACTTGTTCACGCTTTGTTATCACATCATTCAGCGACTTATAAAAAATATGTTTATTGAATTATTTTACACGTGCCACGGCGGAATTTCAAAGCTATTCACGTTTTTTAAGGTTTTCAATGTAAATAGATACTTCAGCACTTGAATATTTCTTCTACATACGAATGTTTTATTTACAAACACTATACACAACGATACGACATTCCATTTACAATTTTTTTCGCACAATTTTGAATGTCAACTGCGTGCGTAGGCGAACTTCCTTTAACCTATATCTTGAAACAATCGAATTGGTAGCTGTGACTAATCGATCAGGACATAAATGTCGACTTAATCGATACATCATAACTTCAATCTGTAGTGTCGACTAAGTGTTGATTTTTGGTTATATTCACGTTGGTTATGGTTATTTGTTCGAATTTTCGCGCTAAATATCTACGTTGTTCGATGGTTTCGCGATCGTGAGAAGTTGATCGATCTCGAACATCGTGGAGAAGGGAAAGTCTGTGCCGGGATGAAAAATTCTTCGTGTCGAAGGACAATATCGGGCCGGAACTGCGTGTTACGTGACATAAATGCTCAGGATACAGGAGGAGATTCGTGATTTAAATCAGGGCAAGTTTTTTCCTGTTCGAAATCGGATCGAGTTCCTGACGGGTTTTTTCAGCTGAGATTTGCGTCATTAGGACGTGAAATTCGATAGAAAAAGCGAACCGCTTCTGTCGAACGGTCAGTGAAACTGCGTGTCCTTCGTGTCGCGATATTACCACTGTCTACGACTCTCGTTTCGTTCCTTTTTTGCAAGTTCCAGTTTTTTTGTCGACCGTTTGTTAGATTCGAAGTTCGTGAACAAGAGAGATTAAGCAGTTTCTATTTGATCTTGTTACAGTTTGGATTTAATTCGTCCCTGTTTGCAATGACAGTTGGCAGTATTGTTAAGAAACGTTTGTTTAGGTTGCTTTCACCTCTTTTGTTCGATGGAATGTATTGAATCGTATTGAAAGTACACGAGAGTGAAATAAATGTTATCTTACGTTCGAAACACGCCTGTTCAGGTTGTTCTAATTTCTGCGTTCTAAGAATTCACGTTACCGGTGTTAATTATTAATCTAACGATAGCAGTGATAACTAAGAATTCAGTAATCCGATAAACAGATTCGAGAGCGTTGTCCAAACAGAGGACATCATATTCTTGCACGCATGGAAGTGTGAATAGAGATTTGTATCGAGAATCGACAAGACTTGTGTTGACATTGTGGATTTAGCTATTAATGTAAGGATAAGAGATCAGTTAAAATCATTGACAGTGTATAGCAAGGAGATTATGATATTTGAATCTGCTTAGTGAGAAATTAGCAATCAACTAACTGAAAATATGAATAATGCGTAGTGGAGAAGAATTTAGGTTAAGACAGATAGGAAATCGTAAAATCGAGGATTGGTACATTCGAGAAATCGAGGGTTAAAAAATTCGAGATATTGAACAACCAATAGTGTGGAAGTTGAGAAGATCGTAAATTGAAAACTTTCATAGTTTAAAAATGTTTAAAAGACAGAATTCGGAGAATTTGAAACTAGACCGTTTCGAATCGACAAATACTCGACCCACGTGTCGAAATTGAGGTTAAATCTCGAATCTGCGGGTGCGTACCGTATCACTCGGCGATGTTTCAGAATTTTGCTTCGCTTAATCCGATTTACGCAGGCAAATCAAGCAAACCGACGTGTCGTTTTCCTTGAGGCGGTTCAATACCTTTCACACAAAGACAAGGAAAAACAGCTTCTGTACTTCAGGAATCCACCTTTATGTCGTATCACCTACGAAAAAATAAAAGAAATTATTGCCCTCAATAACAACGCTGCCCATGATATCAAATGTTTGTTATGCCGATTACTCAGTTCCGTCGTTCCGACTGTGTTCGCCTTGTTTTCGTAGATCATAAACTTTGATAATAATTCGAGCGCCAGAAAATCGCTGGATTGGAACTTGCTTTAGGGACCACTTCGATAACGCTGTATCGAACATTTTCACGTTCAAAAGGGATGATCGATTAATCGATTATTTTGCATATATCGACAAATTTCGCGGCAACGTCAATCTCCATGTTTCTTTTTCGCTCGTGTTCGTTGTAGACGACAGTTTGAGATGATCTGGTGGAATATCGACGATTAAAATATTAGATAAATTGTTACTGAGAAAAAATATGAACTACTAGTGCGATATGTGTGAATTGTAAAGGTTATTTGCGCGGGCGTTTGAGTGTTTAGCTTGAATTTCATCGCAAGAACAGTGTCGCTAAATGGAAATTGGATTTCGTGACGATAAAAGAAAATTGTGATAAAAGGAGTTTGATTGGCGCCTGATGACAATTAACTTCGCAGTTGCATTGATTAAATCGAGTTTCGAGAAGGATGTGAATAATCTAAATAAATCTGAGATACGAATTGTTAAATCATCGATGACCATGTGCGTATTTTCCGAAAATTAACACACGTTATAAAAGGTAATTAATTTTGTAAAATTAACTGTACTCGTATTATAGCACAATTTATAATGTATTTTTATCACAATGCACTTATAAAACATTGTATCGTAACAATTTAATCGATTGTTGAATTGCTCAAATTATTCGAATCGAATCGATAAATTAAATCTCGATCAGAGTATCGAATAAAAGTGTGATTATCCATATGCAGTGTTGCGTGTCTATCATCCGTATAACAAGAATGTACAATAGGAAGAATCTTTCTAATTTAAACGAAATATTTTGCTCGAAGGTAAAATCTAATACAGATCTAGTAACTATAACGGTAAAATCCCCGAATACCGAAGTATAGCCAAAAGTAGTGAAGTTATTTGAAGAGCTGATCTATTTATTTCGTGTACGATTTAGACATCGATCTTAAAGTCGATCTAGAACTCAGGTCACCGAAATTTTCCATCGTCCAATGAGAATCGAATTATTACATATTTCTTTGTTTATATAATGTGTATCGTTACTATTGAAACAGTAATATCGTGGTGAAAATATTCCACTAGCTACCGGACAGATCATGGAAATGTACAACAATGATCTTTACGACAGGACTGTCAATATTTGTAGAACCTCGAATTATGATTACGTTGATTTAATATTTTTTCATGGTGTAATATTTGTTCTGCTCTATCAGGAACTCGATTTCATGACAAAGATTTCTGTGTGTGTATGTGTGTGTCTATATACATCGGTCGATCTTAATCTTCAGAAGAGTCACTATATCATTATAGTTTGCACGAAACGTTTCAACTATTTAACCCTTTTTTTTACGGAAAAGTAATTTTAAGGCAAATTTTCAACGGACAATTGTAAAGCAATTATTTTAAATAAATTTAAACGTGAAATTTTGAATTTAAAATAATTTCAATATGAAATATTGTTAATAAAATTTTTCATTCCTATTTCTTCGTATTATTACGAAATAATTTAATATTTATCATTCAACGAATATTATCAGCAAAAGATGTTTATATTAGGATCGTAAACGATATCAAAGGGAAAGGGAAATCATTTATCCATAATGAGATACATATTTAGTTAAAAATGTAATTTTTGTTTCGTTCGAAAATATCCTTTGATTCCTACGCGCCTGGTCATAGAACAATCTTCTTGTCAGTAAGAGAAATTATTATCTGCTTTTGATAACACTGACGAAAATTTATGAGTTCGATCTACATATGTACTTCTGCGTATTTCCCCGCGATTTCGATCGTATTATAATAATGTGTTAAGAACTTTACATGTTTGATTTAAGTCACGTAATGAGTATTGTAAGATGATTTATTACATTAACGTACTCTGTTACTTTTAAACAATTTTATTTCAGGAATATTTTTAAGGAATCACTTGTTCTTGTTACAAAAAGAGATAATTTAAAAAATAAATTTATTCAAAGCTCGATATGGGTAAATATTTATGACTTATAACGGAACGAAACTTGATAAGTGTTAAGTGTCATACGGAGGGAAGTTTGAGATCATTCAGAGAAATGGAGGGGGAAGTTGAAAAGAGGAGGAACAGGAGGATTCATTTTAAAGGCGAACGTTGATTCTATGGTTAGGTAAATATGTAGTTATTAGCGTGGGTAGCTTATTAGGTAGGAGATTGGGTATTAACAGTGTGTTAGCGTATATTAGGTAGAATATCAAATAACACGTTAAATGGGATATTCGGTAGTGTGGTAGGGGATGTGTAAGGCTGCACATCGGGCAGTGTAGAGAGTACTCGGTAGTGACAATAGGTTATCGTAACATTGAACGTTCGAGGTATCGAAAAATCGATTGTTTATTATTTGGAAATTTGAAAATTTGAGAATTTGAAAGTGTGGAAATTAGAAAATTCCGAAGTTTGAGAATTTGAAAGTTTGGAAATTAGAAAATTCCAAAGTTTGAGAATTTGAAAGTTTGGAAATTAGAAAATT